TGTCCCTTAAAATGTATCAAGAAATCCGACCCGGACTGGGATTGCGCAACCTGTGACGGGCCGTCGTGCCTGCGACGGTCTGTCCTGCAGGTCGTCGCAAAGTTCAGAGACCCAAATTTCCATCAAGGGTCTGTGACGGTCCGTCACACCTGTGACGGTCCGTCCTGCCATTTCGTTACGAAGTTCAGAGAGTCGATTTTCAGTACCCAATTTTCAGTTTTTCTAAGTGTTTTGAAACGAGACACCCTCGACGGTCCGTCGTGCCCATGACGTTCCGTCGTGGGTTCCGTCGTCTCAGCCTGTTTTTCCAGAAATAAAATCTGCTGCTCAAAACGACTAAACAGGTCGTTACACTTAGTGCATATATATACTCAATATAATTAATATAAGAGAAAAAAAGAGGCAATATAATCCACAATTCCAAAGAGTAATAATAAGATTAGAGTTGATAATATGGGTTAGGATTTTTATTCGATTAATTTGTACAGACTTTGATAATTTACGAGTTAGATTGGACTAATCTATTTTTGCTATGAGCTTAAAAATGGTCGGTCTAACCCACAAGTACGTGGGTTACATACTTGTCGAATCAGCTTATTTTTTTAAAAAAATATTTATTATAAATTATAATTTAAAAATACTGTCATAAATATCGACAGAATCAAATTATGTTAAATGTTACCACTTGTTAATCAAATTCACAAATAAAATTATCTTTATAATATTTATTAAGTTTTTTTCATGTAAAAATATAAATATCTAAATAGAAATATTAATCTAATTGTTTTGAATTTGGATTCTCTTTAATTTTAAATTTCAATATTATATTATATTTTTTAATAAATTTTTATTGGCCCGTAGGCCGGTCCTATCAATATTTTTCAAGCCCCATAAATTAACAGATTTATTCAGATCGTATTAAAAAATTATTTTCTTAAATCAACTCTAAAAATTTTAATCTAATCCTATTATATCTCGAATTAGACTAAATCAACCCAACATGCATAACTCGTATTTACGACTTGCCACAGCATGTTTGTCAGATTCATTTAAAAATTGATTATTCACTGAATTACTCCAACAAATTACTCATATTTCTTTATTGGCAAACACTTTTTAACTATCCTTTATCTTTTATGTACACATAGGTAGAAGATGCTATAGATTTGACACTTGGATATATAGACACAATAAATAGGTATGAATTGAGTCTCATGAAAAGAATTTAACAGAGCTTTCTGATAATGTGGAATAAGAGGTATATTCTGTTCCAAGCAACAAAAATATAATCTTTGTTGCTTGGAACAGAATATACGTCTTATTCCACATTATCAGACATGACTCAATTCATACCTTTTTATTGTGTCTATATATTCAAGTGTCAAAGTCTATATAGCATCTTCTACCTATATATATACTCAAAATTAGATTAGCAGAGTTGATAAATAAAAATTTTAACTTTGAAAATGTACATCTGAACATATCAACTCATCTTTACAGTTTCTCATGAACATCGATACTAACATGGTAAAATATTTGTTTTTTACTTGACCTTGCAAAAGTAGCGGAATTATAAATTTTCTTAATTAGGTGCATTAAAAAATTAATGGTGTGACGGTCAACAAAATAAAACAAAAAATTATTATGTTATTTTGGGTTCGAACCGAAGCCTTTTCATTCAAATGAACACCTATTATTGCTACACCAAAGACATAGCTTTTATTAAGGGTGTTCAACTTTAAATATATACTTCTATTCTTTAAATGTTCTATTTTGACATATGTATACAACATAATTTTCCGATGAAGGGTGTTCAATTGAACATCTTAAGATAGTTCTAACAACGTTCCTGCCTTACAATGGGTTATTCATTAAATTAAACTTATTTGAATCTCAAAATTCGAAAGACACCGCGTAAATTAGAATCAAAAGAGTATAATTTATCATCAATTATGTGAACATAGAAGAGCTTGGCTCATTAATTGATTTATTTGAATATTATTATCAATCAGAGGTCGAGGTATATACCATTCTATTATTTTTTTGGAATTTTTTAAAGAAAATACATAATTTTAATATGAAATTACTATTTATTCCTCTTTAGTTTATAATTACATTAATCCTTTATAAAGTAACATAAATCTGATACATTAATATGTAGCTCGAATACATTAAAGAGTCTCGGATACATTATAACATAAATTGAATGCATAATATGTAGCTCAAATACATTAAAAACTAGTTCGGATACATTGTAAAATAAATCGAATACATTATGTAGCTCAGATACATTAAATACTGACTCAAATACATTAATATATAGCTCGAATACATTAAAAAAATAAGCGATTTTAGATATTTTTAAAAATAATTTAAAAAAAACAAAAATATAAGATATTTATTTTCGTAATTTTTTCTTATTAATTATATAGGTCGATGCCATGACACCCCGCCCGTATACATAGGTATCCGCCATGAGAGAAAGTATATGCTTAAGAAAATGACAATAATAAAGGTATTTAAAAAATTGCTTTAAATTGCAAGATTTAGATCTTAATAGCGATGGAGATCAATTAGGTAATGTATACTTCTCAATTTAAATCATGTTTATGCCATTAAATTATATTTACTTCTTATTAATATCTAACATATTTTATTTTTAAGATTCAAATTTTAAATTTTTAAGAAGATTTGTCCATTTACTGCCCACATACATGTTCTATATACGGTCCAAACATGAGTGGCCGTAAATGATCTCCGCAGACAACTTCTATAAATACTTAAAATTTGATGTATTCTCTCATTTCCCTTCATTTCAGTCGATTTCAAGAGCTCCGAAACCCTTCTCCTCGCATCCTAGGGCTAAGGTAAGTGTTCTTTGATGTCTCGTGAATGCCGCCTTCATAAAAATGTATATACGTATAGCGATTGATCTGTTACATTTGATTCTACTTAATATTCTATTTTATATATGGAAAAAAATTGTGAATTCCATTTCATGTGTGTGTAACAATTGATCAATTAATTTTGTGATTATTTCTCGTTGTTTTCAAATTGCAGCAATTGTCTCTAGCTAGACCTTCTAGGGCCGAGCTAGATAGCACCAAGGGGTTTATTGAAACTCTCTTAACGAAAAATACACTATTTATATTTGATTAAAATTAACTGAACAAATAATAATAATTTTTTTCTTAGTTGATTTTCAGTTATGCATAAGCATGATATTTTTGGATAAAACCATAAGTAGCAAATAAAAATATTATCTATTGTTAGTTTAAGCTTTGATGAGATGCTATTCCTTATAAATAGTGGTTATAATTAGCTTGAATTATACACATTTGCACATATAATATATAGTCTTAATTTATGCAGTTGTTGGATCTACATAAAACACTTGTTCGAGTGTGTCAGGACTCAGTAGACCTCTAATTTTCAAGCACACAAACTTTCTGTTAATTGTCTCAAAATATAAAACTTCAAAAACATAACAAAGGTAAGGTCTCAGACATGCCAATTAATTAGAGTTATACTTTATTCCTTTATTTTTTGATTGTACATAGAATTTTAAAAAGTAATCTTTTCTAAATATTATAGCCTTAAATTATAAATACGTGTAATGTATCAAAATATTTTATAATCTTAACTATCACCATAAAAAAGCTATTAAAAATGAAAGAAACATTTTTAAAAAAATTAAAATAAGTCAATCAAATTAAAATATAGCGTGCATATATTCTGTTTTTAACCCTAACTTAGGATGGTCCACTAACATTGTTGTCACTTGTTTTACTAGCCCTATGACTCAACTTATACTACAAATAGTTTACTTCAGCTGAAATTTTCTACTCTAAAGTATTTTGTCAACTTAAATTAGTAATCCAATTATAAGCTCTCATTAATATATTTTTTTCATCTATATTCTTGTAAAGTTTTAGTTTTTATTTGCTTTTCATTATTCAGCCATCACTCCTTGTAATCAAGTAAAGATTTTTGCTTTTGGAGGTGTTGTACTTAGTAGATTTAATGTTGAAAAAGTTTAGTTCCTTCACCTTTATACTACTAAAAAGCTTGTGTATTGGGACTCTGCCTGTAACAGATTTTTTTTTGGAGCAAAAGAATATATATGCACCAGTTACTTTAATTCTTTGTCAAAAAGACCTGCCTTTTCTTGGTTTTTTTCTGTGTATATGCAAGTTTTTTTTAGGTGTTGAAAGTTCAGAGTATGTTCATGGCAAGTTTTCAGGTTAGTTCTTGAAAAGGGTGTTGGAGAAAGATATTTGCAAATGCAAGTAACCAATTATAAACACAAGCGTTCCAAGAGGTAACCAATTTGATTTCTTCCTCTTGTTATTGTATGTATGATTCCTGTCTCATTTTACGTGGCACCATTCTGTTTCGAGAGTTCAACTAGTTAAATATTTTGAATTGTTAATTATTATAAGTCACAATCAATATTTATGTTGTTAGATTCTGAAATCCTAATGATATCACGTAAATTGAGACAGACAGAAAGAGAGTAATGTTTTGTAATCTCTCTTCTCTGTTTTTTGTGTTTGGGGTTTCTCTAAGTTGCAGTTTTCTTGATTCAATTTCATTGGAGTTGGTCTTAAAAAATCAAAAGTTCAAAGATTTTGTAGCAAAAATGGAAAAAAGAAAATTGAAGGGCCTTTGTTATTTTCTCATCTTGTTAATTTCCTAGTGTTTTCGTTTTTCTGAATGAAGTTTGTTTATTGTAGGAGCCATTTTGTACTCCAGAAAACGTTTTTTTTAGCTTCATCTTCTATGCTAGTATGGTTTTGTAACATTTTATTTACTATTTGATCTTCACAAATGCAGTTTCCCGTATACACGCGGATTCAAAGACAATGTGCATCATTCAGTGGAGGATTTTACTCAATTGAATTTGGTAAGGAAGCTTCCATGTGTTCATCCTGTGTTTATGTTATAGCTTTTATAGCAAAATGTGACAAAAAAGTTACACTTTTTGTAGAACTTTTGATCCTTAACTTGCTTTGTAGCTTCTCTTCCTTGTGCGCGTTCAAATTTGTTTTTACATCATCAAACTATTGCCTAAATTTTCAAATTTCTCTCAAAGATAAAGTAAGGAAAATGAACAACGAACACGACTTAGATTAATCAAGCATTTTTGACATTTGAGGATATACATATATATGTTTATTTTTTGTCTAGGATAAGGGTGATAGAAATGACTGTAGTAAGAGCAAGAAGAAGCAGTTATCTGAGGAAGTCAAAAGTTCTATGAAGGAAGAGGTAAGAAAATTGAGATAATGAAACAGTTAATTAATTCTAGTTGGTTCAACGGATTATTAATGTATAAAATTGGTCGAAACTTAACTACTTTACAGATAATGCAACTCCAGAGAATATTAGAGCACCAACTCACAGTTCGACGTTCTCTAGAGAAAGAATTGGGATATGAATCTTTATCGCAAAACATCGCTCAGGAGACAAACTCAATGCCTGAGGTATCTCCTCCTGTTCCTCGTAGCCTTAATGACATACTATAGTATGACGTATTATTCTGGTTACTTCTACCTGAATAATTTTTAGAGATAGCGATAATAGTTTGTGTAAATTTAAGCATTTCAAACTTCTTACATCTCCTTGTGAAGTAACATAGCTAATGTAAAGCTCAAATACTGTATTGTAAATTGTTTTCACCGTCGCACTCATGGTTATTCTTGTCAAAATTGAGCTTCTCTTTCTTATTTTTGTGTTTTTTTTAATACCTTCTGTGTTGGTCATGTGTCTTTTTCAATTGAATCCAGCCAACTACAGAACTGATTAGAGAAATTGCAGCACTAGAGTCGGAAAAAGGGCGTCTGGAGCAGGATCTTCTTTCGTTATATAGTAAAAGAGCTTATGATCAACAGAATTCATCCTTGTATCCTCCCACAAGAGATGATATACTAAAATCTCCTATGTATACTAAAATGAGAAGGTGCCTTCAATTTTCTAAATCTTATACTAAAGTGAGAAGGACAAATTCTTGTGCTCAGCCTGATAGACAGTCAGCGTCAAATCCATGGAAAGAAACAACTAGTACAACAGAAGACAGAGTTAGAGAATCTGTGGTCCATCGAAGTCGTTCCTCACTAACTCAACATTTGGATTTGTCAAAGAGAGCTTCCACAACAGGGGACATACCAGGCAAAGCTTTGCGTGCTTGTCAGTCTCAACCTTCATGTATGATGGAGGTACGTTGTATCAGAGATAAGTTTTTACTGCACTTTTTCCTTTTTGACGAAAAGAGAAATGCGAAGATACTACTTTTGTATCTGTCCATGTTATAGTCTCAAAAGTGGAGTACTGAGAGTTTTTCTTTAAATGGTCCTTTGCAGTACGCACAGAATTCTTCTTCAAATTTAATCAGTTTGGCGGAGCATTTTGGCACCCGTATTTCTGATCGTGTTCCAGAGACACCAAATAAGTTGTCTGAGGACATGGTAAGGTGCATGTGCACCATATATTGCAAAATTGCAAATCCGTGTCTCTCGCCAACCTCATCCTTTTCATCAATGAGTGCCTTTTCAACGAAAGACCAATGTGACATATGGAGCCCAGGATCAAGGAAAGATTCATCGTTTGATGTTCGTGACAATCCTTTTCATGTGGAAGGATTGAAGGAGTCCACTGGACCTTACAGCTCAATGGTTGAAGTACAATGTATATATAAAGATGGTCATAGACTAGGTGATATTGAGCCTTTGTTGCAAAATTTCAGGTAAGGAAATCTGAGATTCAAGCATCTCGTGGGACGTACTTTAGCAATTTCTTGCTGTAAAATCCACAATAATCTTTTCCATTGCAGGTCCATTGTTTCTCGCCTAGAAGTAATAGATCCCGGAAAATTGAGTCATGAAGAAAAGCTAGCCTTCTGGATTAACATACATAACGCATTGGTGATGCATGTAATTATCCTTCTTGATTAAACTTTCAGAATTATAGGTTAAGAAATCTGTGAAGTTCCATATCCACTCTGAGCTTACGATATTTTTCAACTATTCCTATCTAGGCATTTTTATCTTATGGCATTCCACAAAAGAATGTGAAGAGAGTTTATCTACTCTTGAAGGTCAGTGAGACAAACAAATTTCTTCGTCCATAAGTTGTTTGGTGGATTGTGTCTAATCTTTTTACTTAATCCAGGCTGCCTATAACGTTGGTGGTCATGTAATCAGTGGGAATGTGATTCAGAACTCTATCTTGGGATGTCGGGTGTCTAAACCAGGAAAGGTACACCGCTAAAACAGTTTCCTGTTATACATTCATTTCTGCTTAAATTGCATATTCAGCAACTATGTTCTTTACTACACAAACCTCTACAAGTAGTTGTGTACTTTGGTTCAGGAACTAGCTTTATTTGAGAATCTCACAAAAGCATCTAAGTTGACATTCTCATTCCTAGTATTTTCTGATCCCTTACACGTCTCGTTTTACTAGTCTTTCATAGTTGACATTCTCAAATTTGCTACTTGTATTGCAGTTACTTCGCTTGTTACTTTCTTCTGGGAAAAAATTCAAGGCAGGCGATGAAAGACGAACCTATGCTATTGAACGTCCAGAACCCCTTCTGCACTTTGCACTCTGCTCAGGCAATCATTCAGATCCTGCGGTATTGTCCATAATCTTCCTTTCTCGTTAAAGCTTGCGATTATCATTTTTCCTTGTACGCAATAATAATTGAATTACATGGCATTGAACATTGCTGCACTATCTTTTTACAAGGCTAGAAATTGACATCAGGATTTGATGAACAATTATGACATTTGATTGTCTCACGGGGCAAACTTTTCCATTGTCAGGTACGAGTTTATACACCGAAAGAAGTGTTTCAGGAGCTAGAAGCAGCAAAAGAAGAATACATTATAGCAACTTTTGGTCTGAAGAAGGGTCAGAAAGTTGTTTTGCCCAAACTTGTGGAGTCCTTTGCTAAAGATTCTGGCCTACTTCCTGCTGGTGTTATTGAGATGATCCAGCAATGTTTACCTGAATCTTTTACAAGAAGCATAACGATGATTCAGCAGAAGAATTCTCACAAGAACATCGAATATGTACCTCGTAATTTTGCTTTCCGGTATCTAATCATGAAGGAGCTGGTGAAATGCCTAGTTTAATGGTGTGTTATAGCATGTTTATGTGCTTTTAGAGATTTGATTAGTAGTAAGCCACTTCGACCTCAAACCAATAGGTCATGAGTTCGAGTCTCGTTAAGGCTACGTGAAATCATTGTTTATCTCATGTGGAATTATTGAGAGTGGGAAAAGATTGTTTTGTGAGACCTCTCTTTTTCTTTTGTGTTTTCCTTTTCAGAGGGAACTTATTTCCTTTTCTCTCTTCTGTATAACTGCATACAAATTTTGGAGTTAAGAAATGGAGGATTTGACTGAAGAATGCCTACAATCTGTGTTTTGTATGCAACATCATTTTTTGGCTTCAAGTTTTTGATATATATAATTCAGATTCACATTTGTTGTGGGTGTGGTTGCATCAATCAACTACCTCTTAATCCCAAGCTCCTCTTTATATTAAGATTCTTCTAGGTCAAAGACATTCAATCCGAGGCAGACCAGGATTTTAAGTTTTATGGATTAACACTAAGATTCTTAGCATTGAACTTATGATATTTTTGCTATGGGAACTAACGCTTTCTATGAGGAGTGAAAGCCACTTGACGGTAAAGAGAGGAGCTCCACCCTACTTCAATTAAAAATTGTTCCTCACTCCACTCAGTTATGAGTTCGTATCTACTATTTGTTGCAATTTCATGAAGCTTTAAATATATATTTATGTTCTACGTTGAAAATAATGGATTCAAATGAACCTTGTATCGATAAGCTTCTCTGCCTTCAATAAGTTCTAATGAATTCTATATAGAAAATTTCATTCTTTTAGCTCCCCCACCTTAATATATACGACATTTATTTGAAATTTCAACAAAATAATAAATCTTTGAAAATTCGTAGTTTCATGTAATGGATTCCAAATTGAAAACTGTTAGAAACCCATCAAATTTAAATTCTAGATTTAGTAGAAAATGAAAAAGAGAATTGGAGAATAGCAGCAAATGAAGAGAGTTAACTTCTTATTATAAGCTACAAACTTGAATTTACCTTACAAATCACAGATCAATAAGGTTTCTCTCCAATTACATTTCCAGGTGGATTATAAAAACACACAGTAAGAGTAGCAGCTCCTTTGGAACAAGTAGCTTGTGCACAACCCAATTCAATTGATTTCTTCCAAATAACTTGTGTATAAACTCCACACTTATCATCCCCTGTACATGAATTATTTTCATAGCTATAAAATTTCTTCTCAGCAACCCAAGAATCCACCGCCATTCGTGGGGTCACCACTGTACCACTAGCCCATAATTGATTGCCACCATATTTGCCATTACTTAAATTTGCAAAGCTGCAATTTTGTTTGTCCCTTTGGTAACGAACAAGAAGACTAGTTTCTTTTGCTAGCATTGGACTCCATGTCAATGGGCCTACACCCACTTCACTTCTTGCCTTGTTATGTACATCCAAGAATTCTTGCGCCGCGCGGGACGGTGGAGTTGCGGCGGATGTCGGCGGTGGTGGTGGGACTGTTTGGCCTGAGATGTGAGTTAAGGTGGAAGCAGTGGCTAATAAGAGGAATTGAAGGAAGAATAAGTTGGTCATTTTGTTTCTCAACTTTTAACTCTGTTTTCTTTTCTTCATCATTTATATAGGTGGGTGCGAATCATAGTTCAGAGACGGAGCTAGAATATTTTGATAAAGAGGATTTAATATACGAAAAAATAGATATATGAAATAGTTGAAGCGAATTCGATGTTTATTATATATAATTAAAAATTATTTTAATCATATAAAAATAATATAAGTTTTTACGGAAAGAGGTTCAAATGAACCCCTAAGCATACTGTGGCTCCGCTACTGTGATAGTTATGCTAAAATTATATATTTTTCTAATTCGATATTTGATATTTATGTATTTAGACATTACTTTCTTTTTAAGATAGACATCTTATTTTTAAAAGATTTTCAAATTTTAACAAATCAAAATAATAAGATACAATCACCTAAACACAAAAGAATCACGTATGATATTATATATCAAAAATAATAATAAAAAAAAAGTTAGATGAATATGTTAATAAGACGACCGACATGGTGCTCTTTTTTTAAAATCCCTAATGATTTAGTAAAATATTAAATAGGATTGTACAATTGGTTTTGATATATTCATGTGTCATTTTCCTCCATAATGGATCTTGTTCATGTGGGGATTCATATATTGGACTTACATGCCCAAGATTAATGCACGTGACAACCTGCCTCCCCACTGATCTACGCGATCATAATTGAACAAAAACAAAGAGGCGTGACGTGACATGATTTTTTACTTAAATCGTAGAAATATTTTTAGATCAAATTATTTATAAAAAATATTGTGATATGACTTAATAATATATTTAGCCCTTTTATCTATTATTATCCTAAAGTTTGATTTTTTTTGAATCCTATTTTGATAATGATGAAATTAGACATGTGATTTGCTTATATATTTACCAACGCCTCAAAATCAATCTTCCATGTAATTCCATTTAATGCTATGTGCTGTACTCCGTGTAGTGGCAGGTGTTCACCCACCTTCTCTATATTATATCCGGTGTGAATTTGACTTAGGATGTCAAATTCATTCATCCGTCTTTTATCATGTAACTAATAAAAATACTAGGTAATTTCTTTTGACTTTGGTTAAAATTGATGTGAATGTTTTGTTTTTATTTGTACAAGACTATAGATTATACTCATTGAAATATTCAAAAGTGTAGCAAACTAATTTGGAAATCATAAAAGATAATAATTATTGTCTCTCTATCTACAGTTATTTGACAGGTATACTAAAAATAGATATTTAGGATTAATTTGTCAATTTAAATAATTAAGAAATAATTAGTCAATTTCTTTTAATTTTGCCCTTAATGATAGTGCAGTTCAATTGAAAAGTTGGATAGATTTTTGATATTCTTGGTATAGTGAGGTTATATTAGTCAAATTACACCTTGTATTGAAATTTTCTTGAGGGGTGTGCATGATCTTATAATTACAAACAATTGTGGATAGAGAAAGTATAAAATTACATGTAATTCATTCGTGATGACTCAGTTTGCTCGGAGGGTAATTATCCATATAGATGCAGGGGCGGAGCTATGTTTGCTCCAAGCTGTCCAATTGGATACCTTTTGTTGAAAATTTTTGATATATGCATAGGTCAAATCTTACTTTATATTGAATATTAAGTATTTTGAACACCCTTAACAATAGTAATGAGTCCTAAAAGTGCGGCCAATGCCTAATTAGAGTCTGTTTTACATTGTCGTTGGAAGGTCAGAAATACTTATTTTTTTAAAAAAAACAAAATGCTTTTATTGCAAAATTAACTGTTCGGTAAATCAGTGAAAATGCTTTTAAATTGACGTAGAAACAAATTATTATATTGTTGGGAAGAAGCTAAAAATTTATGTTTCTTAAAGCAAAAAAATATTTTTCTCAAGACCAAAATATCATTTTCATATATACATATTTACCAATATATCTCTTATTAATTAATTAGTATATTTCCTAAGCTTGGTAAAATTTCATTCTAGAATTTTATTTTTTATTTTTATATAATAAATTTTATACATTATTTTAAAGAATTTTAAAAGAGGTAAAATATTTTTGCAAGATTAGGAAAAAAAATGACAATTATAGATTTCAGCCTCTTACAAAAGGTATAATATTGATTGAAAATTTAAATATTTACATTTTAAATTAAATAAAAAAAATTAATCAATGTTTTATAATAGTTATTTAAAATAGTTCCTCTCAATAAAATATTTTTAATATTAAAAATACATTAATAATTGTTTTCTTTTGTAATTTGATTTTCAAAAACACTTTTTAAAAAGATGAGTCAAAGACAATTTACTTATCAAAAATACTTTACATAATGAATTAATCAAATATAAATTATTGTTTTAACCCATAAACACTTTTCTGAAAAGTCATTATCACTAATTTTGATTAGTTCTTAATATACAAGCAAAATTTTACCATATAATACAATCATATACTATTACATTGGTGAGAGTTTTGCTTCCACCTTATAATCTCCTTTTTCGTTTTTTCTCTACAGACCCCTATATTTTAAAGAAATATATATATATATATATATGTATGTATGTAATATCATATACCATTAAATTTAAAACAGTGTCACCAGATGTAACTTTGTTAGTTGGGAATTAAAGAAATAATAAACAAACAAAATAAAAAAGAAACATGATTAATTGTCTATCGCTTATTACAAGTAAACTTATCATGAAGATGTTTTTTTTTCCTCAAAAAAGTACAGAATGTTACTTTGCTTATGTGATCAACATTATTCTTTTTACCGATGGACTTAAAATATATAAAAAAAAATTCATTTTTAGCAATAATTGTTCTCAGTATTAATTAGCGCATTGTTGTTTCTAAAAAAAAAAAAATAGCATGACAACCATGAGTGAAAAAGATCAATTTCCTAGCAGTTGTGGTGTTAGATGGAAATTCTCGAAGTTTGCCTATTGGAAACTCACCTCAGAAAAAAAAAGAAGATTGAGAAAGAATTTGAAGAAATTGGCCTTATTGATAGAATCAGTCAAGCTACTTGATGCTCTTATTGTTCAAATTCATTCTGGATGCTTCAGACCAACTATTCTCTATAAACATTGGCAATACTTCTGGACTTCAATTGACAACCTTGTTTATGACAACAAATTAAAGAGTATTTTCATTCAGATGACTCGACGGTCCACAAATTCATTTTCTTAACGGATAATGTGTTGCCTCTCCTTAGCTCCTCTAGCATTAAAAAGTCCAATCTAAACTTTGTGATCAAATCTCAAGATGGTGTGTGTCTTATTTTCCCAAAATTGACAAGTGGCTCGAATTTGCTGTGAATACGAAAGTGAAGGATCTATGCCTGAAAATAGGTTATACTAATGATGCGATTGAGAGTGACCAGCTACAGTCTGCCAGATGTAGTTCATCGATTGTAAAACTCAAATGTGAAAATTGCAGAATATTAGACGATTGTGTACTAAATTGGAAATCTCTGTAGAGTTTAACACTAGGAAGTTTGTCTATCGGGGATGAACACATATAACGTGTAATGTCAAATTTTCCTCAATTGGAATCCTTGAATCTACATAGATTTTGTGGTTTCAATCGCTTGCACATGACTTCTTCAAAATGTAAGAGACTGCAATTGATTGATCACTATCATCCTGTCGGAGATTGGTATTCATTCGAACGTGATTGTTACTTTGAAGAAAACATACTCAAAGTTTCCTTACAGAATTTGAAGAATGTCAAGATTATGCTATTTTGTATTTGTATCTGTGAGACTCAGACAAAAAAATACGATCGATTCTTGAAGTTCTTACTTGAGCAGCAATAATTTTGGAGAAGATGGTTATACTGCCAAAGCACAAGGGATGCAACAATTGTTCTACTAATATCTCACAACTGATGAAGTCTTTGTTACTTTACCAAGAACTTCTATTAGTGCAATTATTTCCTTAGGACAAATTACCAAAAATGTTTTAATATATAGTTATGTTTGAAACTTTCTTGTAATTATAATAAAGACACAAGATTGATTCAAATATTGCTTGTAATTTGTTACTTAAGATTGTATCCAAATCAAGTGGTTAAAAACGTCAACATTCAGTTTGCGTTACTTAGATTAAATTAAAACTTATTTTTTAAAAGGTGATTAAATCACAATAAGATATGTTTTTAAAGCTATGTTGTGTGCAACGCGCAAAAAAAAAAATAGTTGCTCGTCCTTTAACCTAAGGTCTGTGTCCGTAAAAAGGAGAGATGGTTGGCATCTTGCCTTACAAGGATATGGAAATAACCTTTGGGTTTTACTTTTTTCACATAATCTTCAACTGTATCTCCTCTCAAAAATCTGTCTCGACATAAAGAATCTCTTTGAAACAATATCTCCAACAAAAATTT